TCATACTTCAAAGCAATCCGCTTGATGTCCTCAAACGAATCACTATCACCATGAAGCAGACAGTAGCTTCTACACTTTTCTGGCAAACTTCTAAGCAAAACCATAACCAAGTCTGCTTCCTGCAGCTCGAGTCCTTGCGCACGCACGTCCCGTGGCGGGGGCGCCACACACATGTTCCGGCAGACCATGAACTTAGCTCAGCTACAATATCGCGGCAGATGGTCCCGACAGGAGACATTGAAAGCTTATCCCCAAGTAGCTTTGGCAGTGTCAGCTTCGCGAAGTGCTAGGGAGAATGTAGCGGCAGCGAATCAGATGTGGTCACTCCTTCAAAAACCGCCGCTATTGGCTCGCGGCGCCTTTGTGAGATGATTGTGGTGGGTATGTCGGACCGTGTGTCGCGCGCGGCTGACGCCTTGGACGAAAAGGTGGCTCATCACTAGGGAGGAGCCTGTGGCGGAGGCCAACACAGCTTCCCGGCCAGCTTCTCAACGGGACCTGGGAGGAGGCTGTGACAAAGCCTCAGGGTTCAAAAGCTGCCGTGAGCCTGAATGTGCAACCTGCTACTCAGCTCGAAGCAGGAGGTCCTTCTTCAAAGTCCACATCCTTTCCGGCTCGTACTGGAACATCTTCGGCGTCGGCACTGGGCTGGATACCACGGCTTCTTCGGTGACCATACCATTCGGACGAACGAATCTACTTGATTCTTTCCAACCCCTTGAAACCATGGATGGTGGGGATGATCAGCGGGAGAACCTCGGTGGTGTGGAAGAAGATCGAGGCCAACCTCGTAGGAGGCCGGTTATCCGGCTCTCAGGCGCGGTTGCGTCGGATGCCAAATCTAGAAGTCGCGCGCGAACTTTGGAGCCAGCACCATCCAAACACCCCTCTTTCTCGGCTGACGCTTTGAAGGGAGCTACGCAAGCTACTCAATCGTTGCTCAACGCGGTTGACCAAGCGTCCCAGCTCGGGGACACAGAAATCGACAGTGGCCTCACGGCGGCCGACTCTCAGAACCGTGAATCGGCGAGTCGGTGGCGAGCGGGAAATGCTCCTCGAAGGGTCACCTCAGCGTTGGCTCGGCTCACCACGTCTCTGAAAAAGCTGGATGCAGGGGTCGTCGTCTACCACTTCGGCCGCCTCAACTTCCTTGCTGGCACCGACAAGGGCGAGACCTCTGCTGCATAGTGGACGTCCGGCGGATCCAGTGGAGCCGCTGTCCCGGGGGCAATCTGCCCCTGCCCCTTCCTACCTGACGGAGGGGGAATTAGTTCGTGCTTTACCAAAAACAAAAACACGTTTTCCATGGTTCACGAAAATGTTTTCCGCTAAGACATGTTCTACATGTGAAAGCTGTGCTTCATGACCATGAATTGTGTTGACTAATTCTGTGCCCGATGCCTATCTCAAGGTATGCACCTCCCCAGTGGATGGGAGACTGCGCATGGAACCCGGCTCACGCCAAGACAGTCCAGAGGCTTCACAGGAGAGTGCCAGTAGCTCTGCTAGCTCGCAGAGCCTGATCAGTCGTCATTTGCACTCGGTACAAATTCAGATCCGAAGCTGCAGGTAGAGCTGACCCGTCTGCAGGACTCAGATGCATTTTCAGGCGACCGTCTGGACAACCTCGAAAGCATTTCTAGAAGTCTGTGCAGCTCAGTGCAAGAGCTCTCCGGCCGTGCTGCACACATTGAACGTATTCAGACTCTTTAGACTGCAGGTCTTCAGGCCCAAGCCGTGTCATTGTCGCGTCTTGCCAGGCGCCTGGCAAGTCTTGAGTAGGCAAGTTTTTGTTCAACATGGACAGTTCTTGCAGTTCTACTGTAAAAAGGGGTTGGAAGCTTCACATACGTCATGCATGGCAGACCTTTTCTAACCCTATGCCATCCATGCCCCGCCTGACAGCATGTGGTCCCTTGTTAAGAAAGCCAGGTTTCTACCAGCTCCTTCAGGTCCTCTGCTCCCTGCGCCTTTCAGGATTGAGTCAACACCAGGGGAGAACCATGATGCCCAGGTTCCTTCATCTTTTCGCAGCAGCAGGCATCAAGTCCCCTCTCAGCCCGCGATGCTTTCCTTTGTGCAAAGGCAATAGACAACGACCGAAAGGCAGCCATTAAGAAGTGGGCTTCGCTAGTTGCATCTGACTTTAATGCGTGGGGTGTAGCTAAAACAAGCCCGTGGTCCCTACCATCCGCAGTTTGCCACGGGGGGTCTTATCGAAAGCATCAGTGACTGCCTTGCAGATAGGGCTACTTCGACTTTGCACCAGCGGGCAGGTCCGTTGGCCAGGTACGTGCGCTTTTGGAGGTCAGGGACGTTGTGTGTCTGCCAATCCAAGAAGGACAGATGTACATAGATCTCTTTTGATTTCTGTCAGTTTTGCAAAGCACCTTTTGGGTTTAGTTGTTCTTGAATTCACCCTGGATAGCGGGAGGATCAAGGGTCTGGCTAATGCCCATTACTCCGCCCGTTGTGCCGTTAAAAGGCGGCCTGCCTTGACTGTGTTGCAGGTAATCTTTCTTGAGGGCATTGTGTGGAACGATGCCAAGAAGTCTGCAGATCGAATAGCCTCAGGATGTTTCCTCTTAATGACCTATGGTCGTTTGCGTTTCTCTGACATGCAGCGCACCAGCAAGCTTGTGATTGACTCAGTCATCACAGACGATGGGTCAGAAGTTGGATACTTGGAAGGCCAGGCCCAGAGAACGAAAACTAGCATTTCATTGGAGAGGAAAATTCGTGCTCTGCCGATTGCAGTCCCCCTCAAGTCGGTGAGCGGCAAGCCTTGGGTCAGGAAGTGGATGGAGCTTAGGGCTTCCGAGGGTCTCAACGACACACATCCCATGCTTCCTTCTCCCGCTTCTGGCGGAGGATGGACTAAGGTGCCCTTGAAGGTCGGGACAGCTGGCGCATGGCTTAGGTCTTTGATCCCTCCGACCCAACAGCAGGCGCAAGAGGTCAAGGTTGCAACACACTCGTGCAAGTGCACTGCCTTGTCGTGGCTCTCGAAGCATGGAGAGCCAGCCTCAGGAAGGCGTACTCTGGGATATCACGTTCCCAGAAAGGACAAGTCTTTGATTATCTACTCTAGAGACGCTTTAGCAGCCCCGCTCGGGGTTTTGGGCTCGGTCCTTGACAAGATAGCTAGAGGCGAGTTTAAGTAAACCTGACTCCACACGTCGTGGAATGGTAGCCCAAGGACTGGGAGCTGCAGGATCCGTGCCAGTGCAGCCACCGCCGCAGCAGGGTCATGTGCCCGAGGTAGAAGCCGAGGCAGTGTTGTCCAGTTCGTCGGATGGCTCGGAAGATGAAGAAGAGGCCTCCTTGACCGAGGAGGAAGAGGCCATTAATGAAGTGGCCGGCCAATGGGGTCCTGATCCCGAAGCCAAACTTTGTGCAAGGCACAAACAAACGAGATACCTCCACTTGGTGAGGGACGAAGCAGGCGCCCATCTTAAGTGTGGGAGAGCGATTTCGACGCGATTCGAGATCCTGGCAGATGCACCTGCCTTTATGCGTCCCGCCTGTTCGGTGTGTTTTCCATCGACTTGAGATCCGAGCACATGACTCTGGATGGCAAGAGTTCGACACCAAAAAGCGATCGAAGTGCGGGAGCTTTCAAATGCAAGCCTCGGTGTATGCCCACCGCGGACCATTGTGATTTCGGAATCAATGCGGTTCCGTCATTCGGCTATGCAGCCCATGCATGACATCATTTACCATCAATGCGGAATTCTCTGCATGCTTGAGAAAATACCCAGCTCCAGCTATGCAGCTTGAGCCATGACCCTATGCCGGGCTTAGGACGCTTCATGCCAAGCTGTCCTGCAAGCTATGCAAGCAAATGTCGGCGAGATATGCCCTCGACGACGAGCGGAATGCACGCAGAAGGAGAGTTGCTCTTGCTTGTGCACAGTGACATATCGCTGCGTGCTACACGATGAGTCTCATTTGTGCAAGATGCTGTGCAAC